TATTTGCAGCTTAAATGTTCCTACTAAAACTAGTCAACCAAAAATGTTCATTCACTATGTACCTGTACTGAAATATTTCAATTTGTATGTATCTGTAGCCTAACTCAACAATTTGACGTGGTCTAAAACTGTATTTCTGTTCAATCGACCAAATAAAGAATCTTGTATCTTGTATCTTGTATCTGGATTATTTCTAAGTTTATTTTCTATCTTTTGTTTTACAATATAAATCAACTTTACTTCACATTTTGGTTTTCAATGCTTTGATAAGAGCTTGGGCTAGTTGACTAAGTAGCAAAGTGCCACAAAGCTACAATCTTGGAATTGAAGTCACCTTCAATGGAGCAACACAAGACTTTGATAAAAAATAACGTCACATTTGTTTCTCCTTTTACGTCTTGACACCTAAGATAAACACAAGCTCCATAAGCAGCCATGGATACATCACAAAGTCCATCAGGGAAGTGTGTCATTACAATCTAAGTTTTCCTTCCACAGTTGTTGCATTATAAGTTTAGCTAAGACTTCCAATGCAATACAGGTAAAATTAATCCCATCAATGACAGAACTTGAAGTTTTGTAATGTTTTGTGGTTTGGTTGAGTATCTATCTTGTGAATATATCATGAGCGGTATCCCACATTAGACCCAACGTTTTGACTATTGAGTTGTTTAACAAGTCTAGAGATGATACAAAGTATGTATGACTGTTGTCATAAACGAGTCTTCTTACTTCTACATTCTTTGTCACTATCCATCCTAATTTAGTTTCCCTAAGAGATGGACCATTAACTGATAAATTTATTGTTTTGTCACAAAGAACTTCCCAAAACGCTTGAGCCCCTAGGATAATGTATATTTTTGACGGATTATAATAATAAGGATCTGTAAGAGCCACATCAAGGGGGAATCTGAGTGGAATGATTGAATAAAACACTTCCTGCTAACTTTTATGTAAGTTTGGGAAGAATTAGAAAGTCCATTTCTTTAGTGAGTTCTATCTTTTGTTTAACAATTTAAATCAATTTTACTTCACACTAAGTATATCAATCAAACACTTAATAAACAATGGTCTACGACCGTCTGTTTGGTTGACACACCTGGAAAACACATTTATGAAAATGAAGTTGAAACAAAATACACTTAATAACATACACAAATTTACATACAATTATACATCCATTTTTAAACTAAACTTTTCATAATATTGTTTACATAACTTGTATTATTTTACTTTTAAAATTATTAGGTTTTAAAAGGTTTACGCATAATGAAATCTATAAAAATTACTATGAATATTCAAGAAGACAGGCTGACAATTTATTTGACATATTTATTGTTTTGCTACAATTTATAAATTAGAAAGAGAATAAAACAATTTTGAATTTGGAAAAAAAACTTCACTTGATTTATTCGTAATTAAATTCTCTAATTAACTACCACCTCCTTCTCCACGCCTCTCTCATAAAGTTTGCTAATTTACGCCAATCCCTACCATTTATGTATTCTATGTACTAAGTATATCATGTAATTAGGTGTGTATTGGGGCAATCAAAAAATCTTTTTGTTTGCAAAGTTGTTGAACTCCTTTATACAGTTAAAAACTCCAAACTTGCGCAGCATAACACATTATTGATCTTACTACGAAGGAAAAAACACTCTAGTTTTAACAATACCGAAACATATTTATTTAAAAACCATTGACTATAATAAATTCACTGCATTTTTCGAGGAAGTTAGCTTTTCTTCAAAGTGTTTTTGCAGAGAAAACTTTGATGAGAAACTACCCCAAGATACTTGTAATTGTTTACACACTCTATAAAATTTTCTTATAACACCAGCTCGGTAGCCTGTAAGCCGCCGCCGTTCCTAAACACCACAACTTTTTATTTGTCAAGATTTACAACCAGATTCCAATCATCGCAATATTTTTGAAGATCATTTATCATTAATTGTAAACCCACTGCAGAAGGTCACACCAAAACAATATCATCTATGTATAACAGAACTTCCACTTTGAAGATTCCAAAAATGCAACCCCCGCCTAGAACATCATGTAAATAGCTTAAAAACATCCTTGCCTCAGGCCTTTTGTTGTCTCAAAGCACTCTGACACACCTTCCTTACATCATACACCTGCTGACCTACGATTATAGCAACTTTTTAATAATCTTATAATCTTAGAAGAATTTCCAATGCTATAAAGGTTATCAAACGAGTTTCTGTCAATCCTGACAAAGGCTGCAAAAAACTCTACAAAAAAACAGTATAATTTACCTTTTTCAACAGAGAGACTTAACCCTCCAAGTGTCCATAGTAATGGTATTAATGTCCGCCCATTTATTGCGCAATCGCAGGGTTTTATTAAAATGTATCTTAGAAACTAAAAAACACTCTTAAGTATACTGTTCATTTTGTTTGAAAAATTATGGGCTTCAATGTAATATATAAAACATTACAAAAAAATTTTCTACAACTTTTGTGGGGTTAACATTTCTCAAAAATTATAAAATAAATGAAAAAATTGTATGTTTGCGCTCAATAAATTTTTATAATTTTAGGTCTACAAATATTTTAAAATAGCCACTTTGTTATAAATTTTATAAGGATTCCAAAAATATAATAATATACCGTAAGGAAGTAGGTTTGCAAATAAATAAGCTATGGGTGAAAAACATATTTCGTACATTTAGTGTTAGCTAAGAATGCATAGCCTAACCATAGCTAGGAATCTGGTGGATAATTTACATCAATATCACTACCTACTTCTTCAGGATCATCAACCAGCCCTTCAAAATCACTTAAATATTCTTGTAATGCACCATGTATATCACTACTTTTTATTTTTAACACTAAAACAATGATAAACGTAATAAAACACATCAGTCATCGGTGCGAGGTTAACCAAGTTGTTTACAAATACGCACGTCATCTGTCTGCTACAATATTTTCGGAACTAAAATGAAAAGCATCTAGAAACAGACATCAGGAGAAAGCTTAGAATCTGCTGAAAACAACAATACCAATCTCAATCCAGTTAATCTGATTCAGTCACTCCCAGAGCCTTCACCGTAAACGATGTTTGTGTGTCGCAAAAGCGACGCATAACACCACGGCGGGTGTGTTGTGAGTCGATTAAGCGACGCTTAACACTTGGAGGGTTAAATCATTTATTTATTAAACATCATCACACTACATCAATTCTCTTGACAGGTGATTTGTCACAAAGCCTAATACTAGGGATGGTCAAGTCTCGAAATTTCGGGAAATTTTCGGGAAATTTTAAATCTCGTTACACGAGACGAGATTTCTTTTTGGCCGAGATTTGTATCGAGACGAGAATAAAAAATAAAAAAAAAATTAAAAACGCCTGCAGAAAGTCAATGCAATACCCGCAATACAGGAGCGTATTGTAGTTGCATTTCCTTTGTGAAGGCGTTCTTATTTAATTAATTCTTTAAATGTAAATATTACTTTAATTATTTTAATAATATTACTTTAATAACATTTGAGAAGTTTTGTTAAGTGTAAGCAGTGTGAGGAATGTTTTATTACTATACAAAGTCAAAACAAGTAACTATTTTATAAAAATTAATATTGCTTTATTTTATGATTTATTTTATTTTAGGATAAGTTGAACTCTATCCTAACTGATATCACTATGTTTCCTAATCGTAGGCATTTTTAATAAGTTAGGCGTGATTAATAAAAAAATGTTATGCTGATGTTTTTTAATAAAAGATTGTAAATATTCTTGCCTATTGTCATTATTTTTGTATTTAAACAGTCATCTAACAATGTTACAAAATCAGGTAAAAATTTTGAACGTGCATTTCCCGTTGTGTATGAGAAGGGAAATCCCGTCTCGATCTCGTCTCGAAATTTTATGAGAAATAAAAAAACTCGTCTCGTCTCAAACTAAAAATCCAATCTCGTCCATCCCTACCTAATACTATACTACATTTTAAATAACAAAATAGCTTACAAAAGAAATAAATCAAATAATAAGCTACAAACCTATGGGAGAAGTAATATCTTACAAATATACTCATCTTGCATAAATTCTTATAACGAAAAATTTCCTCTCCAAAAGGAAATTTTTTAAAGATAGTTTAAATTTAGAGAATGAGGCAATTATTTTAATCCCAGCAGATAATTTATTGTAAATTTTTGGCCCCATATACTGAGGGGATAAATGAATGATTTTAAGCCTATGTTGAACTGGATTTATAATATTTTTGAATCTTGTGTTATGTGGATGAGATTGTTGACAGTCCATGAATGTGTCGAAATCACTTTTAACCATTAATGCCAATTTGTAAATATAAGAGCTAAAAAAGGTTAACATTTTAAAATGAATAAATAAATCTTTACAATGTAATGTGTTATCATATTATTAGAAAGAGAGAAAATTGTATCTACTGTAGAATAGCCTTTACATAAACCTGCTTCGTATTCACACAAAATGTTTTTGTCTGTAACCCAAAATTCTAACCAGTTTAATACTGCCCATAAACAACTTAGCCACAGCATCCATAAAACAAATGCCTTGATAATTGGACACTTCTCCAATATTCCCTTTTTTATGAAGTGGATGAACCAAGTTCATCAAACTTCTTGAAACTTTCTGGAACCTCTCCTGTATGTAAAATTGTGTTAAACAATTGAATTAAAAGATCTATGTTTTTTCAGCTCTAAACGGTTTGGAATAAAAATCTGAAATTTTATGTTTTTTAGGGTCAAAAACAAGAAAAACACATTTTTACCCCATAAAAACACCCCCCATAAACCCCTGTTACCATAGTCCGTTGTTTGTTTGTGTTGAACAAATTGTGTTTATGGCCTTTGGAGACATCAAAATTAAAAAGTAAATCAGTCCCGGGCCTAGTCCTTACTGTGCCAACTACGGTAATAGCTACTTCCCTAAAAGTAAGTTCTCTAAAACAAAAAAAACAAAAAATGAAATCAAAATTATTTATTTTCAACACTTGTTAGCCATACCTGGCTCGCATGGCTATGTGGAGAGCAGTGTCGCCTCGCTTGTCACAAGCAGACACCTTGGCCTTCTTCTCTAGCAGCAACTGTACGGCCTCTACATTGCGAGACCTCACAGCTCTCAACAGACAGGTGTCCCCATCCTGGCCAACAAACCATAGAAACTAGCATGTCACCTCAGTAAAGCTTACACTGAAGGCAGCAAGATCTGCAGGAGTCATGAACAACATGACAATAAACAAGTTAACTACTAAAGGAAATAATTTTTGAAAGCAGCTAGAATCCCTGAAAGCAGCTAGAATCCACTGTGTTCTCAGAGTCTGGGTATAGTGTCTAAAGATAAATGTTAGATGGCCTAAACAGTTTTTAGCGAATTACCCATATAGGGTAGCTATTACCGTAGGTCTCATGGTAAGACTTAGACCCGGGACCAATTTACTTTTTCATTTTGAGGTCCCCAGAGGCCAAAAACACCCTCCATTCAAATTCATATATATGTAGGCCTATTTTAAAAAGAATTTAAATTCCCATGTTATTCTTATGGAGAATAAATAAACTGTTGTAGTTTGCTTGTTTAAGGATATAGTACCTGGGGACCGAGCTTTGCTCAGGTAAAATCGTTAGTTTAATATGAAAGCAGTCTTAGTATTGCAGATACATTAATCCATTCCCAAACTCCATACTGCTCACCTTTACTACTTCGTTCACCACTTCCTACGTCGTGGGTCTGTTTCCTTCCCTTCCCATAGCATTTTAAGATTGCAGATACCTTAATCCAATCGTCATAAACTGTTCCCGCACTCCGGACTGCTCGCCTTTACTACTTCCTTCACCACTTCCTACGTCGCAGACCTGTTTCCCTCCCTTTCCATAGCATTTCAGGATTGCAGATACCTTAATCCAATCGTCATAAACAGTTCCCGAACTCCGGACTGCTTGCCTTTACTACTTCCTTCACCACTTCCTACGTCACGGACCTTTTTCCCTCCTTTCTCATAGCATTTTAAGATTGCAGAAACCTTAATCTAATCGTCATAAACAGATCCCACACTCCAGACTACTCGCTTGACTACTTCCTTCACCACTTCCTACGTCGCGGCCCTGTTTACCTCCCTCCCCATATCATTTTAAGATTGCAGATACCTTAATCTAATCTTCAAAAGCAGTTCCCACACTCCGGACTACTCGCCTGGACTACTTCCTTCACCACTTCCTACGTCGCGAACTTGTTTCCCCCTTCCCATAGCATTTTAAGATTGCAAATATCTTAAATCAATCGTCATAAACAGCTCCCACACTCCGGACTACTCACCTTGACTACTTCCTTCACCATGTTTTTCCTTTTGTACTGTATTTTGTTTTGCTAGTATACTGTGGATAGAGAACTTCTGCACATGCGCAAGCTAAGGTGCCCGTGGGTACAGAACGTCAAGTTATGTCTTAAAATGTAAACAAAATGACAACAATGGCGGAATGTTTTCTCATAAGGCCCATGTTAAATTTTCAAAAGTTTGTACTCATGTTATGGCGAAAATAGATTTTTCCTGGCTATACCACTGGTCTAGAACTTATTTTTCACCCAGAACTTAGTTATTCCGTAAATATAAACGTTTTTGTTAGAGCCGATTCCCAGATCGAAGTAACAATTATTCAAACTTTACTCATATTATATATAGGATTTCATTTCAATCAAATTTGGCAATTTTGTTCATTTCATACTAAGCTATCAAAATTTCAATAAAAAAACACACCTCAATACCTTCCCTGCAGCAGTAAAGCTAGGTACTCATTACAATTAATGTTATTTAAATAGGAAATAAATTTGACAATTTTCAGGAAATATTTAGTAGAAATCCAGGCAGGTAAATGGAAATTCGCTTAGTCTGCAGGTTTGCTGCGACGGGGGTATTTTAATAATGGGGTCGAGTAGTGTGGAGTGAACTAGTCTGGTGGTTTAAATCATGCCAATTACCAATGGATTTTATCATCCAAGTGAACTGATAATACTTCTAGGCCTAGCCTGAAGTAGGCCTAGTTAATATAAAAAACAAACCCAGACTAGAGCCTGATAAAAAATAAAAATTAATGTATAAAAATAATAATATGGTCAAGTGATGAAAAATTTATATACGTAAGTTTAAAAAAAGATAACATTATTGACCCTTAAATCTCTTTATATTTTACACTTGACATTTTAAATCAAGAACAACATTTATTTACTTTAAAACTATAAAAACGTATCCATACAAGTAGACACCTTTAGAGAATCCAAATCACAGATTAGTTTTGTTTCTCAATCAGCCCTGTTATCAAAGTCAAAGTCATCTATATATTAATAGGCAAGCATGTGTTTCTTTAAAAACCTTTTTTCTCAGCTCCTGTGCATCGCAGGGAAAATCTACGCATACCGTTAGAAAGATATTTTTCTGTAGAAGTGTAAAAATTTTAAATAGACTCAAATATAAACACAAAAATAGATTTGAAATTAAAAAAAAATTACATGGGCTATAGGGTTGCCATGCTGGTGACGAAATAACAACAAAATATAAACAGAAAATCAAAACAAATGGAAGAAATTAAAAACACACGTTTTATTTACAGCGAGGGATGAAAATAGAGAAGCCTGTACCTTTACATTCCATCCCCATGTTAAAGTTGTCACCAGTTTTTTAAATTAAATTTGTCATAGTTGATGTGAGCCACCAACAGAATGGGCTGATCTAAATGACTAATTTCTGTCAAATACACAATGTTTTTTACCAAGTCAAACCTTTTGAATGACTTATTGTGAGCTATAGCAACTGTTATGATTTATGACTAGTGATGGGTCGGTACTTCACGTCAAATGTCGGTTCACCAAAATTTGGTACTGTACCGATAATGCCGAAAAAATACCGATATTGTCACGATCGTGCGAGACGACGTTTCCGTGACCTCAGGAGATGATTTTGCCGCGATCGCTGATGACAACGATGACGTAACCGCGATCCCAGGAGACGACCATGACGTCACATGGCTGTGAGAGATGTTCATGATTTTGCCGCGATCGCGGGGATGACAATGACGTCTACACGATGACGATTTCGTGACTGCGGGAGTCAATGATGATGTTTACACGGCCGCAGAAGATGATTTTGTCGAAATCTCGATCGGGGAGGACGACGATGACGTTACTATGATCCCAGGAAACGATTATGACGTCTACATGGCCGCAAGAGATGCTCAAGATATTGCCGTGATCGCAGATGACGATGAAGACGTTTCTGTGACAGCGGGAGTTCATGATGATATCTACAAGGCCGCGGGAGATGTTTATGATTTTGCCGCGATAGCGGAAGGCGATGATGACGTCTACACAACCGTCAGTCATTTTGTTGCCGCAATCGTGGAAGATGATGATGATGTCTACTCGGCCGCGGGAGATTTTCACGATATTGCCGCCATCTGTAAACCAATGATGATGTCTAAACGGCCGCGGAAGATGTTCATGATCTTGCCGCAACCGTGAAAAACTGCAATGATGTTTCATTAATTGAGAAAGATATTTCGGATTTTGCAGTGACCTCAGAATACGACGATTATCACGATATTACTTTGAGTTTGGCCGTACTTGAAATATCAGGCTGGCACACCTCTATAAAATACCTTAAAATTTAATACGGTAGTTATTTGATGTGATAATAAGGGTTTACACTTGGAAATTGGCTAGTTAGAATGTTTCATTGCTGCATACATTTTTTTTACTTGAAAAGCACATTAATAGCCTACCTCAAAAATACCTAATAGAAAGACATAAAGACAGGGGCTGTTGTATTATAACCAATCCATTCAGAAAACTTGGTAAAACTATTTAAAAAATGGTATTAGTATTGAGAATAGTTTTTTAGGTATCGGTATAGAGAATCGATAAATATTGGTATTGACACATCACCAATTCATCAAATATTTTTAACACTTTTGCTACATATATTATTTTGATTTGAATATGTTTGGCTATTTAAGTATGTTTTTTTTACAAATAAGTTTTATTTTCTTAATACCTTAAGTTTTGTACCAACCTATACTAATGCATAATATTGTAAAATTAAAATCTGTATTGATATTTTGTAAAAAAAAAATTAAGTAGTCTATCCTAAAAAACTAAATAAGGTACCAATGGTACCGGAACCGAGAACCAATTTTGGCTAGAAACCGGTACCGGTACCGACTATGAAAAAGTGGTACCGACTCATCACTAGTTATGACCCATCAACTTTTTCAGCAACAAAAAATAAGGTAGAAAATAGAATTTAAGACAAGCATTCGGTGACTGGTTCACACAACTATATGTTTTTAATAAAAAAATGGCGACAGCTGGTCCATACTGTAGATGGGATGTCTACCTTAGTATCCAATAGTCAATATGTGTACATTACATGTTTTTGGTTGAGTTTTCGACAACTAGGCGAACCCCTAGTCCCTACTAAAATAAAAAAGTTTAAGGTAAAAATAAATACATAGAAAAAAAAAAAAAAATTACGTTGATTTGTCTTAAAGAAACTGATTTATACTATGATAAATAATTTCATTGACATTTACATATTCATTGCTAATCCTCCATTGCATTATGTTTTTCTGTCATTATAATATTAGCAAAACACTTTTTAGAAAAACATTAATGTTGAAGAAACAGTATCATTGAAAAAAAAAAACTATATTAATGAAATGTTTAACATTACTTACAGGCATAATCTTGTTTTAGTACTACTGAAGATTTAGCCATTTGATTTTGTTTACATCAAAGAGATACGCTATGTATTTTATATATTTATACAAATAATCCAAACCTTAGTTGCAATCTCCAGATCAGGGTTGGCAGACAAGAGTAATTTCATGATGGCTAAATTGCCCTTTTCTACTGCTGTATACATTGCAGTTTTTCGCTCCTGCAACAACAAAATATACTTCTGAGATTTGAGCAAAAGTTACAATTGACAGAAAAAATTGTAATTATATTTATTTGACAACCTCTGATGAGTGATAAGTGTTCTTGAAGACCTGATGATGAAGCTATTAATGATTCGAAACGCGTAGTCTCGACAGACAGCCTTTGGATTACTCTGACAGATCCAGGTAACATTATAACTTTTGTAATCTAAGAAAAAATTGATTACCGTACTAGAATACTCATTCAGAGAGTGTTTTAATAAATATATACAGGGTGTTTATGAAAAACGTTTCAACTTCAAAGAACCATAAAACCTTTATTTTTCCCCTTAAAGCTATGAAATAACAATCAAATTCAAGGATATCATTTCAAGTTTTGGTACATAATTAGGAGTTTACCTAACTTCAATGTCTTTGCCATTATTCGCACGCAAATACTAGCCTAATTCTTTCTGTGAGTTTTTGTTTGGTGCTTACTTTACTCCTGCCCCACATGCAAAAAGTCACACAGGGTAATATCTGATGACCTAGGAGGCCCATTCATTAATATGAGTCTTAATACAAGCATCCATTACAATTTTAATGAGACCCATTAATTATTTTTTATTGTTTACAAAGCAACAATATAAAGCAATCAGCGGATAAAACTGCTACTGATCAAAACCTATTTAGCAACTCTTTCAAGTGTTGTTTTTAGAAAACTAAAACTTTTATGTTACATGGAAAGAGGATATGAGGATGGAAAAGTTGTTTTGTGTACAATCCTTCAAATAAAGCATTATTAGTTTTACCTTATATAAGGCAGTAGTAGCGCCAATAGGGTTCAGTAACGAAACCAATGCTTCTTTTTTATTGTATTAATAGCTTAATATTCCTAAGATTCCATGACTGACTATTAAAAAAAAGTTAAGTTTAGCCTATATATTATTGGTGTATTTATTAGACATAAAATAATACACAGTTCTTTTTTCATGCTTATCTGTACTTAAAGGTAAATCAGGCAACAATATTGCTTTATATTGTTATAATAACTAAATAATCTGAAGTTCACTAGTTTGAAATAAACAATATACAGATCAACAGATGTAACCTGGCACATGGGACTGGCGAATCCGGACGAGGAGGGGGCAGAAAACCCTAACTATTCCTATCCTAAGAACATTGGCTCTGGCCGCTGCTGCCTACTGTCGATGCAGAAATTATGTAGACTCGAATTTGTACGATTTGTACATGAGAGTACACGATTTCTACCTAAAATCCATGTGCCAGGTTACATCTGTTGATCTGTACCTCTCCTGTATTTGTCATTTGCCTTAATTTAACCTCTCTCTCTCTCTCTCTCTCTCTCTCAGCTTTGAAAAAAAATCTGAGGGTACTAGGTGAGGGGAGAGGTGTTGGTTAGGCACAGAATGTGCCTGGAAGGACAGATTGAAGCTGACAGCAGGAAGAGAAATCCGAAGATTCTTCAGGAAAGCGACCTGGTGAATAAGTCTCTGACTTAAAACAGGGGTGGTGGAAGGGCCACTGGGCTTCGGCCAAACCTCTCTCTCTCTCTCTCTCTCTCTCTCTCTCTCTCTCTCTCTCTCTCTCTCTCTCTCTCTCTCTCTCTCTCTCTCTCTCTCTCTCTCTCTCTCTCTCTCTCTCTCTCTCTCTCTCTCTCTCATTTTATAGTTTATTTTAAATAATTCTTGTGGCTTGCCCTGAACTGGTAAGACAAATATATATTCTTCCAGAGTACCCGTCCTTCGTACGGGATTGGCATATAAGTATAAAATGCTTAGTACAGTTATACTCAACCTTTGCGTTTGCAATGGGGGAGGACACAGTATGATAAAATTTGCTTCTTTAAATTTACGGTATGCTATAATATTACAAATCTACCATAGCCATAATGTTTTACCACTTCACCCAAACAATAAAAGAAAATAAATTATTAAAGATTCACAAAATATCACAAATTATTCGTGAAATAAAAACATAAACAAAACTGTAAACAGACGCTTGTCATTGCGTATCACAGTTTTTTGTTGCTGCTTAATTCAAATTAGATGTTTTCATAAATAAAAAAATAATAATAGTGCTGCACCCTGTTGGTAAATCTTGTACCTTTTAATGCTTTTGCATACCATAGAACCAACCTTTTTAGTTGCAACAGCTGACTAAATTCTTTAGTTCCATTTAAATATGAGTACTCATAAGGTTAACATGGGAAACTCCAGAGCCACTGGAGCGGAGCCCGAAAGGATTTTTGAGATAAGAATATGCCTATATGTTAATCGGGAATGTGAGCTATCATCATGCCAAATTTCAGCCCAATACGTCCCGTAATTAATGCGTGATTGAACTTCAAACAAACAAACACATGAACTTTCACATCTATATATATAAAATCCAATGTATGTTTGTTTGTTTGTTTGTCCTTTATGGACTCCGAAACCGCTCGACAGATTGTAATGAAACTTTTAGGCATTATTAAGCATTATTCAAGGATGGTTTGTGTGAAGTTTGGTGCAGATCCGTCAAAAGGGCTCCGCCCCAGTGGCTCTGGAGTTTCCCATGTTAACCTTATGACTACTCGTATTTAAATGGAACTAGCTGGCCGACAGACGTCGTCCTGTCCTAATGTGGTTTTATGTCAAATGCTCGTTCATTTTCAAGATGAGCTTGTTCGTATGGCTCAATCACGTTCTGGTTGAAGTTCGTTCGCTACGCTCGCTCACCTTTAGGTTGGAGCTCGTTCACTGCGCTCACTTGCCTTCAGATTAGCTCGTTCGCTACGCTAACTCGCCTCCAGGTTGAAGTTCGTTAGCTATGCCCACTCACCTTTTGGTTGCAACTTAGCTGTTGTCATAAATTTAAAAAAATAATAGTGCTGCACCCTGTTGGTAAACCTATTAAATTTTTAATTATATTTAACATCATAGAATCAAATTGTTTAGTTGAGCCAGCTGTTAAGATTCTTTAATTCCATTTAAATCTGAGTACTCATAAGGTTAACATGGGAAACTCCAGAGCCACTGGGGCGGAGCCCTTTTGACAGATCTGCATCAAACTTCACACAAACCATCCTTGAATAATGCTTAATAATGCCTGAAAGATTCATTACAATCTGTCGAGCGGTTTCGGAGTCCATAAAGGACAAACAAACAAACGTACATACATTGGATTTTATATGTAGAGTCCCGCAAACTCGGCGTAATGTGGACTGGAAGGTTGCCGAGTTTGTAAAATGCCGGGTTATCAGAAACTAGGGTTAAAAATAAGAACAATACAATTTTTAAGCTTTTTAACCGCCTTTTTTATTTATATTTATATTACAAATCTGTATTAAGTCATCAGATATAGTACAACAAATCCTTGGTATGAGTTGCGAATGATTTGACTTGAGCTGGCTTCAGTCCATTTTTAACTCGGACTAAAAAAAAATCACTAAATTTCTGAGCCAGGTGATGGCCGAGTTATCCAGACTGCCGGGTTATTGAGTGCCGAGCTTGCGGGACTCTACTGTATATAGATTAAAAAATCTTAACAGCTGGTTCAACTAAAAAATTCGATTCTGTGATGTTCAATAGCAATACAAAGTTAATAGGTTTACCAACAGGGTGCAGCACTGTTATTTTTTTTTAAATTTTTGACAACAGCTAATTTGCAACCAAAAGGTGAGTGAGCGTAGTGAACGAACTTCAACCTCGAGGTGAGTTAGCGTAACAAACGAGCTAACATGAAGGCAAGTAAGCGCAGCGAACGAGCTCCAACCTAAAGGTGAGTGAGCATAGCGAACAAACTTTAACTAGGACGTGATTGAGCCATGCGAACGAGCTCATCTTGAAAATGAACGAGTATTTGACATAAAACCACATTAGGACAGGACGACGTCTGTCGGGCCAGCTAGTTTATAATATTAGTAAGATATGTAGTGGATTAATTTGCCTTTATTTTCGTCCCAGTCAAAATCTAGTTGCTCTTTACAAAAACTCAAATAGCAATGAACAACTAGATTTGGACTGGGACGAAAATAGGTAAATTAAGGTAAATTAGGTTCGATTGTGTGGATCACGACATACTGTTACAAAAACTGGAGCTCAGCGGCATCCGTGGGGTGCCCCTTCTTTGGGTGAAGTCATACCTATTTGGTAGGACTCAGTATGTACAGGTGTCGGATTCTAGATCTAAGACTTCAAGGGTCTACCAAGGTGTCCCACAGGGATCGATCCTTGGTCCAGTTTTGTTTGACATACACTCCTCAATGAACAGTGGGAAGATCATACAGTATGCAGATGACACGACTCTCTATTTTGAATCAGAATCCCAAGAAAACATTGAAATTGAAAGCTTCATCAACCTGAACGCCTGCATTCAAAAATTTCAATCTGAAAATTTAAACATAAACAAATCAAAAACAAGTTTTATTCATTTTTCACTTCGTCACCGAGACGATGAGTCTACAACCACAGTAATGGAGGATGACACCACTTTAGAGGGGGTTGAATCCATAAAGTTCTTGGGGATGCACCTGGATAAGGCGCTGAACTGGCAAGAACACATAGATAGCCTCTGTTCCAAAATTACAAAGGGCATTTTTGCACTGAGGAATCTCAAACTGACATGCACAACACAAGTTCTGATCATGGCCTATTATGGCCTTGTTCACTCACACATCTCTTATGGAATTAGGTTATGGAGTGGTTGTGCTAATCAAGATTTTGAAAGGGTGTTTAGACTCCAGAAAAGAGCCATCAGACTCATTGCAAATTTAAGGCAAAGTGAAAGAGAGTCGTGTAGGCTTGCTTTCAGGGAGCTGCGAATCTTGACCCAACCTTCGGTTTATATATTGGAGACTGCCGTGTATTGTTGTTTCCAATGCCTGTCAATTCAAGGCAGTGCTATTCACAGCTATGGTACAAGAGCAAGGGACGATTTTTGCACTGTCCAACATCGCACAGCTGCGTTTGCGAAACTCCCTTCTCAAGTAGGTGTCAGGTTCCTTAATGCTCTTCCCGAGAGACTCAAAAGCCTGGAGAGTTCCCGTTTGTTCAAAACAAGACTGAAGCGAGAGTTGACGAATCTTGTGTTCTACGACGTGGATGAGTTCACGAAACACCGTTGGAGCTGAATTCATACACAAAATTTTCATTCCCCAGGGGTTTAGTTCGTTATTAGCTTTTATTGATATATTTATCGTTGTTATCACTTTTAGGATTGTACTTTATTCATTGTTATTAATTAAACATTTTATTCATTTGTTGTTTGATATATATATATAGATTTTATAAATAAATCACCCAAGTTTCACCTTAATCTATATATTACATCATATATATTGTCGTATGTATTGTATTCAATCTTGACCTTTGCTATACAATGTAAATATTGTCTGAAAGCAATAAAGAATTATTATTATTATTAAATTACTATATACTATACATATATTTATTTTTAACTATTATCTTTTTAAGTTTACAGAATGTTTTGTAAGAAAGCTTGGCACAACTGATTAATAATAACAAACAATCCATTGTAAAATGACATACAGTAGAGTCCCGCAAACTCGGCGTAATGTGGACTGGAAGGGTGCCGAGTTTGTGAAATGCCGGGTTATCGGGAACTAGGGTTAAAAATAGGAACAATACAATTTTTATTCCTTTTAGCTGCCTTATTAATTTATATTTATATTACAAGTCAGTATGAAGTCATTAGATAAAGTAAAACAAATCCTTGGTACGAGTTGCGAATGATTTAACTTGAGCCCAAGTTTAACTTGGACTCAAAAAATCACAAATTTTCTGAGCCAGGTGATGGCCGAGTTATCCAGACTGCCGGGTTATCGAGAGCCGAGTTTGCGGGACTCTACTGTATTTTGTTTAAACGTGCAAATATTATCTAGTTGTATTTGGAAAAACAAATAATTTCCATACTACATTGTAAGCCTCACAGAAAAGCAGGAAGCACTACCTTTCCAGGAATGTCAATGTCAGCATATTTCTTGAGCAAAGCCTCCACGACACTGCGATGTGCTCCCTTAACAGCATGGATCAGGTTTGTGTCACCGCTACGATCCTACAAAGAGACATCAGACGTTAGGAGTCTGAGGACATTGAGTAAAAGTGTTTTACTCAATCACTTAAAAATAACTTAACTGGCTAGGCTTATAATAAAGCTAGCTGCCTTCCCAAAGATCTGTTCCCGCTTCGATACTGACCATGGGCTCTAACCCATTGGCTTTCAAAGTTAAGAGGTGAGGCTTTTAAGTAAATATTAGGGATGGACGGAATTTAATTTTTAGTTCGGGACGGCGTGGGATGGGATTTTCATTTCCTTCCCGATTTTCAGGACGCGACAGAATTTTTTCCTGTGTATAAAAATGGTTTGTTTTAAAAATCTTGAGTATTGCAGTTACCAAAAAAGACAAAATCAACTGCACTGATCTGATCAATTGCACTTGTGGCCCTGATCTATAAAAGCAAAAACAATTTACAGGTATAGAAGTTTGTGACTCGCGGTCACGGCGTAATTGTCGGTATGATACCACCGTTGGCACTACTGGTGCAGAACAGTTTAAAGCTGAGGTAATGTCGTCTCCAATATTTAATACTTTTACAGTTATTTAGACAGTTTTGAAAACACTTCCATTAACTAACTTTATTAGCGTCAACAAGTACGACGTAAATAATAAAAATTTTGAAGCCAGCAGTGTTCAAATAGTCTAGTTTGTGACTGATTAGAATAGAAGAGAATAGAATAGAATAGAAAAGTGATTTATTGAATACATATTGCTTACGGTACATGAAATGGATACGATAGTTTGATACATAGTGCACATACAGCAATGGTCATATGACCGTCTGCTGGGTTGGCATAATGTCCATTCAAGATTAATAAAATTGTCCCACCTAAATCAACATACTGAGCACTAAAACTAAATAAAATAACACTTCTTTAGGCAACACATATACATACATATATACACATACACATGTATGCATACATGCACATATATGTATGCTCTCTTAAACATATTGTAATTATATTGTCTATATTCATTCAAAATGGTTTTCAAGATACAAAATTTTAAAAATTAAATTCCCTAACTAACTCCCATCTACGTTTCCATGCAATTTTTAAAAAACTTCCAAGGCCCCGGCAATCCTTCCCATTCAAATAATCCACAAACTCCTCATATTGTATTTTTTGTTTCCCAAAATACAAGAGACGCAAGTCATTGAACACAGGGCAACTAGCCACAAAGTGTAAAGCAGATTCATTTCATTTCATTTCATTTCATTTCAATATCTTTATTCAATAATTGTACATTGTACATTGAATAGTGTCAGATTCCTAACCTAGTAAATAAAGTTATAAGCTAAAATTACAATTTATATAATAATAAGAAACTACCAATAAAATCAGGTTAATTGGGGAAACACCTCTTTAATGGAGTAGGGAGCGATTTCTATGAGATAATTTTTTAATTTGTTTTTAAATTTGATTGAGTTGCCAATGGGTTTTAAATGATTTGGAAGAAACCGTAAAAATCTTCTTCCGGCACAGGTGGGCTTTTTATTTGAAAATAAAAGATGGTTGCGACTATTTTCTCTTAGGGCTTTTCCTCTTGTATTGTAGCATAATTGTGCGTTATCTGATATACTTTCTTTCGCTATGAGAGCAGTTTCAAAAATGTATTGGGCAAACACAGTTAATATTTTAAAATTTTTGAAATGAATTTTAACACATTCATCATTTTTTAGTCCCATCATTGTTCTTAATGCCCTTTGCTGTAATTTTAAGATTCGATTAAGATTTTTCTTAGTTGTAGCTCCATATAAAGATATACCGTATGAAATGTGGCTATGGACTAGAGAATGATATATTGTTTTCAAAGTATTGATATTACATAGATATGACATCTTTTTCAAAGCAAATATCCCTGAATTTATCTTTGAGCAAACATGATCGACGTGGTCCTGCCAGGATAGATGTTTATCAACTTTAAACCTAAAAAATCTATTTTTTCAACTTGTTTGATTTCATCGGAATCCAAAATAATCAACGGTTCTATTTTGTTTTTACATTGCTTAGTTGAAAATGATATAAAATTAGTTTTACTTTTGTTTATTTTGAGATTGTTGGATAGTAAGTAATTTTTAATATTCGCAAGTTCTATAAAGGTATCTATTTCGATGTGTTCTACTGTTTTCCTGTAATTTTTAAGTTAATGTCATCAGCATATAAACACATATTTCCACAAGGTACACACAACAGAACATTTGGAATCTTATCAATGTAGCAAAGGAATAAAACAGGGCCTAGTATTGAACCCTGAGGGACACCAAAGTGATTAAGTTTTATTTCTGATCTGTTTTTTACCAGCCAATTATTTTTATTAGACATGATTTCAACGTATTGCTTTCTTTCCGATAAATATGATTTGAACCACGCCAAAATGTGACCTCTTACTCCCATATCTTCTAGTTTGAGTATAAGAGTTTGGTGACATACCCTATCAAAAGCCTTCGTAAGGTCCATTGATATTCTTATAACATTTTCGTGGTTATCAATTGAATTTATTATACTCTCAAAAAAACTTGAAGCAGCTGTAATTGTTGATCTGCCTGAGCGAAAACCATGTTGGCCACTAAATAGAAGGTTGTTATTTTCTATAAAAGACACTAGCCTAATTTTCATTGCCTTTTCAAATAATTTTGAAATAATTGGCAAAAGTGATATTGGTCGATAGTTTTCTACGCACTGAGGGTCCCCTTTTTTGAAAATAGGCACAACCTTAGCAACTTTTAATAATTTTGGAAAATGGCCGGATATAAAAGATGAATTAATTAAATGAGTAAAAATTGGAACTAGTTCTTGTTTTGTATATTTTATTACTTTAACGGGAATTTCGTCGTGCCCACGTGAAGGTTTGTTACTTAAAGAGTTTATCAGTTTTTCTACTTCCTCACATGAAACGTTCTAACGCACAACGTTTAAATTACACAAGGAACATGTGTGGTTTTTGTCGACAATCCACGGTTTATAGTTGAGATCTATAAGCTCTCCTCTACATTTTATTATCCAAGAAATGGTTCGGTTGTCTAAACCAGTTTCCAAGAACCTATTGTTGCCAAGGTCAAAGTCAACGACGAGGTATTGAGAATGATAAGCTGAAATACACGCTCTGCCTAGGCACTCAGCTCTCCAGCTATCTCTTACTGCATTTATGACACTAACTAATTGAGACTTTAACCTACCACTCCCCGCCTCCTCCATCGTATCTATATTCAGGTCCATTTGCACACCATATTTGATTCCTAATGCTCTCCACACTCTACACCAATCTACATTTTTTCTTAAAACTTCAGCTCCTAATATTCTTGGTAAACGGTCAGGTGGTAGCCCCAATATATTTATTATATAATTAAGATTCATTGAGAGAAAATAAATGTGTAATTTATCTAGACCCGTATCCAAGTACAGTGAGTAATTTGGCGTGTTATTAGGCAACTGAAACAGTTTCCTAATAAATAACTTTTGTACAGATTCTATCTTTTTGCTCTCTAAATATCCCCATACCTGGCCTCCATAACATAAAATTGATCTTACCACAGCGTTAAAACATACAAATTTTGAGGACAGATGTACCCTGTCATTGTTTATTAATTTGTTCCAGGCAGCATTAATGGCTAATTTTGCAGCTGAGGACTTCATCTGAAAATGTTGTTCCCAACTTAGCATTGGCGTGAACAATACCCCCAGATATTTGTAAGAGTTAACAATCTCAACCTCTTTGCCTTTATAGAACCATTTATTACTTTTGGCCAGTCTACCTCCTTTACGAAAAACCATAATTTTCAATTTATTAGTATTAACTTGAAGATTCCATAAATTGCAATAAAGTTAAAGTTTTCCAATCATTTGTTGCAGTACCACAGCTGTGGGAGCTATTAAAACTATGTCATCCACATACATTAGGATATTTATTTCCTGACCTCCAAATAAACATCCACCCACTAACAATTCTGGCAAATCATTTATAAATATTGAGAATAAAGTACGGCTGAGATTACAACCCTGTTTTAAACCCATCCTGGATTCAAAACTACTTGTAATGCCGTTTTTACACCATACAGAAACATTGGTTCTATCGTAAAGATTTTCAAGAAGCTTGGCAAATTAGGTTGAGACTCCTATACTAAATAGTTTATAAGTTAAGGCCTTTCTGTCTATAGTGTCGAAGGTTGCTGAACAACCTACAAAAAAATCACAAAATAACTAACCTTTTTTAATTGCACAACTTAAATTAATCATTCACGATAAACTAAATATATTATCAATGGAAGAATATCCACGTCTGAACCCCCCTTGAAACTCTGTCAATATATTATTCTGTGTTAACCACACATTTAGTCTAGAATTCAGCAAACTCGTAAATATTTTACCACCTCAGTCAATAAAGGAAAGTCCTCTATAATTAAGTGCAAGTAGAGTAGCTCACTTTGGTAGATACAAAAATCCTCCTTTTTGCAAAAAATCTAAATTATGTAGTGTCAAGATTTCCCTATAATAGAACTTTTTAATGAAAATCTCTGTTCAAATTCAGGTAAAAAAATTAAAATTTTGCCTATGTACTTAAACTACAGTGAATGGGGGGAACAGTTTCAAAATTTGGTATATTTTACTGAACTGCAGCCTTTAGATAATTTTGTTGTGGTTGGGGATCTTAATGGACTAATAGGAGCTGATCAGAATTTTACTGAGGGAACTTTAATAACTCGTTAGTTAGTTGCAGAAGGTCAAAAGATACCATAGTTTAAAATAGTAGTCTTGCGCAATGCACAGTGTTGCCATTTGTCACAGTGATTACAGATCGAATGTAATATGATTTGTCAAAATCATGAATAACCCAACATTTAACCACTGGGCTTAAAAATATGAATTCAGCCACTGACTGGTCTGGACTGAGTCAAACATGTAGAGTGAACTGAAATGAGTTTGAGGTTTGAGACGTACATTCAGTGCTATTTATGTTGCTTCTGCTTCTGTATTTCCATAGCTCGTTCGAAACA